GCGGAATCCCGACTGTCTCGTGTTGAGGGCATTATAGTCGGCTTGTAGGTTATTAGGTGTGCCGGCTAATAGGCATCGATATAGCGTATTAATGGCAGGTAACCGGACGGCGATAATGGGTATCAAAGGGAGCGAGTTATTGCAGAGCAACGCGCGCGACCCAATGGGCGCTCGCTCGCTCGCTCGCGCGCGCGCGCGCCGCGCAGCGCAGCGCCGCGCCGCGAACACCGATGGCTTTTACTTGTCGCGTTTTATGGAAAAATATGGAATAATGCCATTAGCTTGACGCAATCCGGATTCGCGCGCGTCCCTAATGCGTGTTTGCGTTTTTCGGCCATAGTGCCGAGAAACTTCCATCAGAGCCGGGCACGGGTCGTCGAATCATAAATCCATGGAAAAATCTACGACATCATCGCGTATGAATTTAAAGCTCGCTGTACAGAACAAGAGTAAAAGTGCCGTGTGAAGAAAGGCTGCAAATCTACCAACCGTCTACCAATCAGACTGGCAGTGTCGAACGTTCGAACGTATACCGTGCGGAGAAGAAGAATGTGTTAGCTCGCGCACCGCGATTTTTCCTGACTCGTCGGTTGCGCAAAAAGAAAAAAAGAGAGAGAGAGAGAGAGAGAGAGAACGCGACAGAAGCGCGCGCGCGTCCCGTATAAGATCGTACATTACTCCCCTTTGTCGCGCCGCGCCGAACTTAACGTACGAGCGCGCGCTCCTGACGAGAAGAGAGGACTCGCGAAAGAGAGTCGACGAAACAAAAGGGCGCGCAACGATGGGAAAAGCGGGTGGAGAGATGAAACGCGGGGGCAGAAAACGATCGGGGGCAACGAGAACGGAAACAAAAGCGACGCGGGGTGATACGCAGTATGGTGACGCTTCCGGCTCGCTCACCACACACAATGCACTCGCTCGTGTTAACTTCTCTGTGCCCCGTTGCTCTACGCGATATCTCTGCTCCTGCGCGCCTTCTTTCCCCCCGCATGTCTCTCTCTCCGCATTTCTCATCTCTCGCTTGTCTCTCCGTCTACGTTCTCGCCGAGAGGCATTCGTCCGAAAATGAAAATTTTATAAATTTTCGATATGTGCGATTTTAACATGTCGTACATAAGTTAACACGCTCGCACACTTGTTTTTTGTTTGAACAAACAATCGCGAGCAACAAGTTAGCGATCCACATTAAATTATCGCAATAATAATTTTTGAATAATAATTTGTAGAAAAATAGTTTCATTTTTTTTAGTTTTCGAATACGTGTGTTTAAAGTTCACTTGATTAATTTGAAGAGTTTTTTATATAGATATAAAATTATATAGTCATTTGACATACACACACGCATACATTGTGTAGGCGTGTGTGTATATGTGTAAATATATGTAATAAAAATTATTAATTATTATCTTTTTATAAAGATTCTGCTTAACAAATCTCTCTCTTGTTGTAATGACTATGTAATCTCTCTCTCTTTTTTTTTTTTTTTTTTTCGTAAAACAGAGATGTCTCTTGATGCGAGTCTTTATATCTTTGACACGGCACAAGCATACAGAACAGACGGTATTAAAATAGACGCTTTTCGTGGGCACTGACAAGGAAACGGAAGCTTACTACGCAGGGGATGTTTTAAGAAATTAGTTCTCTTGTTAATTGCAAAGTGACACAATCTTACACGGCTTGCGTTTGAAAGTTAGACTCTCGTCAAGAGAGTGGCGCTATTAATTACTTCTGTAACGACCCTCGTTGCTGCGCGACGAAACAATGCTGAAGTAACACTTAAAAAAAAGCATCCGTCTTTTCGCAACTTTGTTTCGCGACATGTGTGTCAAATGTTGTTATAAAAAATTTATGAAAATTCTCAAAATCTTTGTGCGCGCCAAGTTGAGAAAGTTAAAACATTGAAAAATAGAAAAGAGCTTAAATGTAATGTTTGTTCATAAAACTTCGCAAAACGGGAGAACAATACAATAAATATAAATACCATAAATAAATAAAACACACTGTTCGTTATATCCTATCTGAACTCGTTTGTTTTAGTAGACTTTAAAGTATTCTTATAACGTGTACGTTGACACGTTGAGTTGATATGCCGCTTCATTTGAGATAAATATAGGTGTTCTCCGAAAAGTAATAGCGTACTCATTTTTAATAACAATGAAATATAATAGAAATGTATAAATATAATAGAAATATAATATATATAATAATATATATAATATAAACTATATTATATATGTATATATGTATATATATATATGCAAGGTGTCCCACCTAACTTGAGCATCCTAAATATCTCGCTTATTTTTTATGATAGGAGGATACCGAAAAAGGCATCGAAATTATTCAGTTCGAGGAGACAAATACTGTAATAAGCACGAAATTTTCCTCAAGATTATTGTCATTCTTTAAATCTGAAAGTATATATTTTTATCATCGCGATACGATAGGCAAGGTCGAGACAAATCCAAGAAGTTCTTGGTACATATATATAATTGGAATTGTGTAAATCTTATAATGAAGTTGGAAATTTAGCACTCATCGAAGAAATTATACTTGCTCAGATATATATCGATGTTGCGAGATAATTTACTATAGAGTGCAAGATTAAAAACTTGTATAATATATTTTATACGACGGTTTCTTTCCAACTTGAATTCTTGTATATTTATTGTTACTCACCGTCACGACCTGTCAGTTGTTTGGTTATTACTTGTAAGGAATAACGTTACACCATGTATTTTTGACATCGACGAGAATTATTTCTGCATACTTCGTAAGTGTTTTTAACAGTCTTTTTTGTAACTTGCGCCTTTAGTATACAAATTTTTGTTTTTAGATTGTATTGAAAAAGACCTAAAATTAGAGCTCGAAAACGTTTTACAATTTAATAAATATCAAGCTCATGTTTACACCATTACATCTGTGTCTGCTTCAAATAGCCAATTTTCCTTGAAATTATTAAAAACTTGTTTGGTATTAAAAATTTCAAGATAACAATGTATTTTCTAAGTAAAACGCAAATGTGCCAATACTTTTTTGAGTATAAAAAAAATTTTTCTTTTTCTTTTTTTACTTGCTTTAACTACAATATTGAGAGTTGGAAAATACACCGCTTCGGTGTATAAATCATAAGACGTTAATGAACATATTTTGTATATTAATTTATCACTTCATTAAATAACCGAAATTGATGTTTAATATTCAAGTAAAAATATTTGATTGGAGCAACACCGTGATTTTCAACTGAGCAAATCGGTGAATTTTAATTTTCTGATTGAAAGTTATGTTTTGTGTGTTTTGGCATTACAAAGAAAATATACGCCAACTTTTCTATTAAATAAACGCAGAAATTATCGGTAATATATTGTTTAAGTATGTTTGTTTATTGTATATGAATCTCTCTCTCTCTCTCTCTCTCTCTGCGTTTCCACAATGTGTGTAATATCAAAATAAAACTCAAAAACCAAACTACGTATTCGAGTTGCAATTACACAAATCGTCGAACTCGCCGATGTTACAAAAATTACGGTCTGACTATTTCATTGCTATTAGTAGTAGATAAGTAAGTAATGTGTGAGACAAAACGGAAAAGAAAAATCATTTTCTCGACAATAAAAAAAAAAAAAAAATGATTCTTAGAAATCGGAAAACTTGTAGATGTAAAAAATTGCCAAATTTAAATGATTAATGAAAGTATTCGTTTTCGCGCTGATCGAATTTTAACGAGTTTCGAAAAAACCTTTCACATGTAACTCCATACAATACTATATAAGAATTAGCAAGTATCCCACGTTTGTGAGAAAAAGAACCATAAATCTTTTTTTACAAATCATTTGAAGTCCAATCTCTTCTACCAGTGCCTAAAGTGGTTTCCGCTACTAGACTTATTTGTCACCTGTCTTGTCGATGTCAAGTTCTAAGGAACTGATTTATTGCCTTCAGTCAGGACGAGAATAATTTTGTATCCTTTGTAAACTCTTTTAAAAACACTCAATGTTCTCTATATAAAAGAATTTCACAAAAGACTTTTACTATGTTCATTAGTGCTATTCTCTGTAATAACGCTACTTATAATTTACAATTTTCAGTATGAAGTGAATTTGTCAAACCGGGTGTACAATAGCGGTTTGCTACTTCGTTGCGCGTGAACTTGGCGCGAGGCACCACTGCCGTGCATCTCTTGATCCTTTTCGACGAAGAGAGAAAACACGAGTGAGAGTATTTGTGAAAAAGTGTAGCAAAAAGTGAAAGTTTTTTTTTTTTAATAAAAAAAATCTCTCTCTGTATATAACTTACGTATATTACATCACAAATTTTTTAAAGCCCGAAGCTCCCACGTGACTTGTAGCGTGGAAACGTCATTGGTTCACCGCTTGGGCAGGATGTTATTAGCCCTGGAGGTCAAGAAACGCGCGTGCAGCTGTCGGAAATCGCGCGCGCGGAATGGTGGGGTGGTTCGAACACGTGCGCGCGTGAGGATTTACGTCGTCACGCGTAAAGCGTGGTGTAGGTGGGTGCGATAGGTGGAAAAAGTAGTGACGAAGCCGAAGTAGGATGAAGAGAGCAAAAAAATATCAAAGAGAGAGAGAGAGAGAGAGAGACCGTGAGAGGAAAACAGGTGAGGCAAGATGAAAGGAGAAAGATGACAGGAGATAGGAAAGAGAGGATGAGAAGAAGCGGGAGAAAGAGCGAGCGAGAACGAGCAAAACGAGAGTGAGAGAGAGAGGGACGAAGAGAGGTCGAGTGGGTATGTTAAGGAAAGCGGAGGCGCCAAGCTACCCTTCGCGAGAGCCAGGCGGCAGGCAGCCCCTTTCGTAAAGCACCCCCTAAGCCTGGTTAGGGGCGAAGGCGGCGAGCCGCGGAGGCCACAACACGACCGCCGTCCTCATTGGTCGACGCGCTTGCCCTGGGTGGGGCTCCGGAAAAATTGGAGGGGAGAAAAATCCCCTCTAAATAGCTGCGGCTACAGTCGGGAAAAACTAGAATCCGCTCGGCCGGCGTCGAGTACGCGTCGATTCTATGGTTGGTTATTTCGCGCGGTATTTCGCCAAAGTGCGTGTAATCAAAACAGAAATCCGAGACCAAGAATACAAAGCTTTTTCTTCAAAATAGAAAAAGAGCGGATTTTGTGGGTTTTGTTGCTTATATATATATATATATATATATATGTTGTGTGTGTAACAACAATACAACACGGAGGAATTTAAAAAGTGAACGATTGTAAATGCAAAAAAAACACAAGTGTAGTTTTTACGTGTAAAAAAGTTTTTCATTCGATTCCTGTTGTAAAAACGGACTTTTACTTGTTCGGACTTCTCGCGCTGATATACTGGAAGAAAAATGCATCTGCCGGATGGTTTGGCGGAAATGGACCTTTACTACAGGCGTTTTTTCGAAACCGCCAGAACTTATCACGGAGATATAGTATCAACGGGTTGTCCCTTCATTCTATGCAGCAAGCTGCCGAATCATTGGAGATCAAACAAGTCTCTCCCAACAGCGTTCAAGGTCATAGTACTATCCGAAGTCAGCGATGGCACTCAGGTTACTATCAGAGCTGGCAATGACGAAAATTATTGTGGCGAGCTGAGAAACTGTACGGCCCAAATTAAAAATCAGGTCGCGAAGTTCAACGATCTGAGATTTGTTGGCCGTAGTGGAAGAGGTGAGCGACTAGACTCTTCATTCTCTCTCTCTCTCTCTTTCTCTTACACACACATATACACACGTACACACGTTTCATGGACTTGTACAGATTTTAATAAAAAATATCATTGTTTTCTCGTTTACAGGGAAATCATTTTCGCTGACAATTCAAGTCGACAGTATGCCGGTCCAAGTAACTACGTACGGCAAAGCTATCAAAGTTACAGTAGACGGACCACGCGAACCGAGATCCAAATCGAGTAAGTTATTTCAAGGTTAACATAGTTGATCTCTCTCTCTCTCTCTCTCACACACACACACACATACAAAAGATATATATGTATACATAAATGATACATGTGTTCGTACCGTTAACTTTGACGGTACGGTGTTTATCATGAGGAACACAAAATATAGCGCGCAAGTTGCCGAAAATAAAACACAGTATATATAAGTAGTTTGATTAAAGTAGTTTCTCTGCTAACAAATAACACAGAGAAAATAGAATTTCAGAGAGAATGAAAAGAGAATTTAAAAATTCGTAATCTGGATATTAATTAACATCTTGTTTACAAACAACATTTTTTTTTGCCAGACGATATCGCATCTGAATTAAATTTTAAAACTGGTCTCTCGCGTGGATTTAACATCGCGGAAAACTTTGAACGAGTTAAAACTCGATCGTTTTAAGATTCACTTCTTGGATACGCGGTAGAAGACGTATATCGTATGAACTGAGAATGGGGAAAAAAAAAAATCGAACGTGACAAAAAAGCATAAAAGAGAGTCACGCGTACGGGGCGGGTGCTGTTAGGAGGAAAGGGTGTGTGTTCAGTCGGGTCGAAAGTCGTCGGAAGCTCCCGTGACCACGGCGGAATCCGCAAACGGGCGTCGGAGCCTCGCGGGCGTTTAATAATCCGGCGTATATCTGGCGGACCTCAAACCGCGAGGTGGTGGCGATGCTGCTGAACAGTAGCTCTCGACGCCCAGCGTCGGTTCGCACGTGCACGAGCGAGCGCGCGCGCGCGCGCGCACATGCACGCCGCGCAAGGCACCACATGCAGAGAGACACAGAGACACGCACACGTTTTAACGCACACACGCCCCGCGATGAGAATCGTAACACGGTGTTGACGTGCATACTCACACATATATCCCAGGTACGTGCTATTTTACGCACACGCACATAATGAGATCTGGCGTCGCGTCAAGCCGCGAGAAGCAGCGACGAGGATCTTCGTATAGTTGGATGCGCGTGTTCCTTCAGATCTGCCGCGTTTATTTTTCCGCCGTCGCGTTGCCGATTGGTTGCTTCGTGGCCCACTAAATCGGATTGTTTATTAGTCGGTACCCAGAGAAAGAGAAGTTAGAATATGTGAAGAAACACGATAGACGGAAAAGCCGACGCGAGACCGATGCGAGCGAGAACGAGAAAGAAAAAGACAGAGAGAGAGAGAGAAAGAGAGAGATGGTCTGCAAAAGAAGCCGCGTTTACGCGTTTGTTTATCGCGCCGCATATGGCGGTAGCATGTGCCGCGCCACGAAAACCCGCGCCACGTCGTAATAACGGATTTTATGCCGCGCTCGTATAAACAGAGAGATACACTAGCTGCGCTCCTCCGGATCGCCCAGGAGAGCGCCGTTAATCTTCGCTTTTATAGGTCTTGGGTGGCCGAGTTCGTTTTTTCTGGTGTTTGTCGGTTCGTTAGTCGCATATCACCCCCCCGACGAAGCTTTGTTAAAACGCAGAAGCTCTGCAAAGGCTTCACCGCGAATCGGTGTTTTTTATTTTTCGCAAATTTTTTTTTTTTTTTTTTTTTTTTACTAATGCACACGTACGTACGCGACGACGCCTTAATAAGTAGATTGTCTGAGAGAGAACGTGTCTGACGCGGATCACGCGTCAAAAGTCAGTCCTCACGGGTTGAGCGATCGCGCACAGACAAAACGGATGTACTTGTGCGGATTTAATTTTCTTGTATTTGATTATATTGCATACTGAATTGTTTATATATTTATTAATGTACTTCGTGATCTTTTTGCTTCCTTCAGGTTTTTGATCTGAGAATGATCCAAAGCCTGGATCGAAACGTACTTTTTATAATAAATATCCTTCTTTTTCACACACTGACATCCGTGTTTTAGGCTCTTATTGGCCATTTTTGATTTTTCCTTTTGATTTTTTTATAGAGCCTTTCTACTCCTTTTTTGATAATTTTTTTTTTTTAATTTTTGTTGCTTGAAAAGAGTGACTATACGTTTAGAAAATAACCAAACTCTTCGATTTTTATTTTTACAGATTATCATTACGGTCCAGGTTTTCCGGGAGTATATAGTCCCTGGTTGGAAGGCACGTCGCTTATTAATTGGTCGCACTATGCCGCTTTACTTAAAGGTAGACAAAACTACTTATAGTAAAAAATTGTCCAAATGTTTATTTTGATTGTTCAAATGGTTTTAACATGTGTATAAAATTGTACATTAGGTGTTGACAAGTACAGTTACAAAGTTTATTAAGCCACCTCAATCTTGGTTTCATAGCTGGAAGGTCTATTTCACCATTTCGAATTATATTACGGCTGTTTTTTTGTTCTTAAAGTTTATTAATTCTAAAAATAACATATATGAAAAATAACTTAATGAGGGGGAAAGGGACAGGCAATGTGTGTGATTGCATACATAAAAAAACATACATGTTGCGTATGTTTTTTTATGTGTATTTTTTATGTACGTATTTCGAGGATGAAAAAAAAAAAAAAGTCTCAAAAAGAGAGAGTTCGCGTTTACGAGAGAGAGAATCCGCGTTATCGATTTCGTCGAGTTCGCGACGCCTGCCGATGATTCATACTCCGTGAGCCGGACCGAGGGGTGAGTCTGCGAGTTCCCTTTTCCCACAGCAAACCCCTCTTCTACGGGCTCTCCCCCCTCGTCCCGCTTTCGCTCATACGTCGTCTCTTCCGTCGTTAAAACAACAATATGACTCTCGCTATACTACTACGTTCGTACTCCCGCGAATCGGTCCCGGCCTAGATTAACCGATTCTTTCTCCGTTCGTTCAGGAACGATGCCGATACCAGGAACGATACCGCCACCGCCGCCACCCCCGCCTGTGGAACTGTTCAATTCGAATTTCTTGCCGTACATGTTCGACAGATACTACGAATGCACAGGATTAACAACGACGAATACGACGGCGGCCGTGATGACCCCAGTAACCGCGGTCGCACCCCTTTCAGCGATCAGTCCGTCTAGGACACCGAACAGTCACAGTGATTCCAGTAGCAATCACAGTGAGTCGGCAGTCGATGAAATACGAAGCGCCTTTGTACCTCTTCGGCTCCACAACCTGCCACCGAGTACGCTCTCGTCTTCGTCGTCGCCGCCCGAAAAGAATCCAAGAAAGCCGACCGAGGGTGTGAGAAACGAATTGAAAGCCCCGACCGCGCTCATCTGCAACAGACAGTCGCCGACTGTCAAAAGGAGTCCGACACCGACCAAGATATCGTCGTCGCAGTCGACGAAACCGGTCTGGAGGCCGTACTAAAAAAAAAAAAAAAAGGCCGCGCGCAACATTACCATGTTCAAGTTCAGGAAGGCTAGTGATACACGTTGCCCACGTTGTCGCGATAGAGTTGACGACGCGAGAGGACCATTTTACAAAAAAAACTGACGAAATTTTTCGAAACGCTTGGATTCGCGCGTTACGTAAAAAAAGTGCATTCTCTTAATCTTCGGTTTTACGAAGAAATCGATTTCGTCAGTTGGGGAAAAAATTTGATGTTCAGAGAAAAACTTGATTATAATATTGTATAATTATAATTATATATATTTTATCATAATTATAATTGTTACATAATTATAATTAAATAATCTTATATATATGTAATTATAATTACATAATATTTTTATTTATAAGATTCGTTAATAAAATGATCGATATATTATTTTATAATGTTTGCAATTCAGCAAAGTTGTAAATAGAAAAAAAAAAAAAAACTATTGTATATATTGTGTATTATAGTTCGTGGACAATAAGATACAATTGTCAGAAAAAAAAGGTTTAACGACGTTTGTGTGTTCATGGAAGTGCGTGAATACTTAAATTATAACTGAACGAGCGACAGAGAACAAGCGAAATATAGGAAGAGAGAGAGTAAGAGAGAAAGAGAGAGAGAATGAGAATGAGAGAGAGAGAGAGAGAGAGAGAGAGAATCAAAAGACAAGAGATGTTAATATTATTTGTAAGCCAGAGATCTAATGTAAACAAATGGTATGACATAGAGATGCAACGAGAAGAATAAAATCGAGATCTATGTGAAAAAGTTCAAACACTTTGTTACGTTTGATTTTTTCCACCTTTTCGTCACACCCTTAAAGTTCGATTTAACGAATCGATCGCCATTATGTTTCCGAAGATGATGATGATCGATGCCGTCGCGCGCGCGCGATCTATTCTCAAAAGTGTCAGAAAAGTGTCGTCGCGCAAAGTCCGGAGATGTCTCGCACTCAACAGAGAAAGAAAGAAAAGATCGGAACGTCTCTCCGTTCTCTTCGTGCCGCTGCAAAGGGGATTTCATATTTTTTTGTCGCGATTTAAATCTGAATGGCCGTGCCGCCGCGCAATCGTTCCGCGTCTCTTTCATGAGAGTGCAGGAGAGATCCCATACGGCGAACACAAGGGTGGAGAATGGTTTATATCGAGGGGAGTGCGTGAGATCTGTATTAGTACCTATATGCTCCCGAACACCAGCGGTTCTCAGATATATCTCAAGTCAAAACAGATCCGGCGAGTTCAGTGGTTCTTCCCAAGTCGGAATGTCGGGATGATATTTTTTGTTTTTGTTTTTTTTTTTTTTGTTTTTCGCAAATAAATATAATTTCGCGCTCTTCGCGTGTAGAAAAACAAAAATCTATATATCCGCGACCGCGGATTCGGTAACGTTCATTTCATTTCGACGAGATATCGCGTGACGCGAAATGTCCGTCGGGACTGTGTGCTGCATCACATCGCTGAAACACGATCTGGAGTAAGGGATAGTTTTTTTTCTGAATTGTTCCGGTCGTGTTTGTCAACTGGTGCGCAGAGTACGAGCGCAGTTAATCTCGGTGACGTCGAATAACTCAATTTTCGCATTCCGGTTGCAGGTGCAACGTTATATACGCGCGCGCGCGCGCGCGCGCTACGCCGCCGGCCCGATATGTAACTTTGAATCGAAAGCGATGCAAGCAGAAATTCGATACGTAATGTGTGACACGACGGACGCGCGTTCGGTGTGAAATCTTGATCAGATCGCCTTGATTAAAAATCGGGAGTCGCGGCTGGAAATTTCGAAAGTCACCGACCGGTCGCTCGCGTGTGCGCGCGCGCGCGCGAGCTTTGCGATTACACACGTAGCTTTTTGCGCGACGCTTTAATGAGATTAGCCCCGGCGAGAAAATGAGAACCGCGTTGACACTCCGGAGAGAACCGGAGTCCGGGCTGTGTGTGTCCGTTGACGAGTAGACAACGGAACCAAGCAACCATGAAGGGTCACCGCACGAACCGAGGCGAACCGATTCAAGCCAATCCGCGCGCGCGAGCCGAACCGACGCTAACTAATGTTTGCTCAAAGAATCGTCATGTATAATTGAGTCAGCCGCGGCACGGGATGGGGAGAAAAAAAAAAAAAATCAACGAGCGCGAACACGCGTATCCCTGGGGCTGAATAATCGGCTTTCGGTGTACACACATACACACACACGGAGACCTCGCGATTTCGGAAACAAACCGCCCTTTATTAGGAGAAACGTTTGACATTTTACGCGCGGTGCGATGTCGAAAGAGCGATGTTTTGGCGTTTGACCTCGCGATTTCGCAATTAGCATAAACGAATAAAATGCAAATTTTTCGAGATAATTACATTAATTGCAAACAACAAGATTTGCATATACATATATGTATTTCGCAAAAGTTTCAACGCTGTAATATATCGGTCCATCTCGCGCGCATTATCGAGACATGAAAGATTCATAATGCAAAGTATAAAAGTTTCACCCCGAAACGGGGTTTTTTTTTTTTTTTTTTTTTTTTTATCACATCAAATTTATTTCAATTATTTTATATATATATATATATATATACCGAGGCAAATCGAATTATTTCCAACCGTTCCAATTAGCCGAACGGAGAGATCGAGAGAGTCAAACGAGGAGGACTCTGTGGAAACGAGCGATTGAAGTATAATGCTACGCGGAAGGAGCGGTCGGTCGGTCGGTTCGCCTCGTCGACACACGCTAGAGAACGTCGATCCTCTTCGCTGGTCCAGAATCGTGAGGACCCTGATTTGAGGGTCCTAGAGTTAGGCAATCAGCGTTGATGAGGGGACCGGGTTGAGGGGTGCAGGGCTTGGACAATTAGTAACTACCCCTCCCCCCCCCCCCCCCCCGCCCTCTCTTGTGTGTGTCGCTCTCTCGGCCCGGTTCACCTGCCTATACAACGCACACCGACCGCAGGGCGCTACGCATGCGAAAGAGGTTGCCGCGCGCGTGGGTTAGCTTGCGTTTACGTATGTACGTAGATCGCGTTGTACGCACTGTATTACCCGCTCGGGTAAAGGTCTTCTCACGGTTGCGGAGGCAGTGTCAACGCTATCGCAGGCCCACGCAATTTTGCCGCTCGCTCTGTTCAAACAAATGACGAACGCGAGAAAACAAAGCAATATATTTAAAAAAAAAATGAATCACGTTTAAATGATTGAAAATCGTATGGTTCAGAGACATCGTGATTATTTGTGAGATTATTATCAACATTTCGTCAGTGAACGGCAGTCGAATTTCCAGAGCGTATATTTACAGGAGCGAGGGAAAATCTCGAGACGCACTCGCGCGTCGTTCGTTCCGATGGCGCGTTGTGCAATAAAAACGAGAAATGAACAAAAGGACGCGCCCGTAGCGCTACTCAAAGGATCTTAATCGCTTCCGCGGATACTTCGAAGCTAGTTTGAAAAAAAAAAGAAAAAAAAAAAAAAGAAGATCGGTTTCCGCGACGGAGCTCTGTGCTCCTCCGTCGGAGGAACTGCACACTAATTGTTTCTGACGATGAAATGTGTCGAGGATTACACGGCGCGTCTCGCAAAAGACCGGAGAGAGAGAGAGGGGGGGCGTGCGCGGCAGGAGAGACCGCGGGAATAATAAGCCTCTTTTGTGAGGCATTCGCGAGACGACGGGAGAAGACGATCCTTCCTTCTCTGCCGCGAGCGCGGAAACTGTCTTGAGTAGGGAAAGACGCCCCCGTTTCTCTCGAACTTAACGTCTTTTATTCGTGACCGCTCGAGAACGAAAAGCAAAGACGGACGTCGTCGTCGTCGTCGTCGTCGCGCGCGACGAGTTAGGGAAAAACGCTTAACGAGCTGTTTTGCATCGCAATGCCTCGACCTCGTTATCAGTTATCGACCCGCTCGCGGGCTGCCGCTGCGGATTAAAGAGTACCTGGCGCCACAGTCATGTGTACAACCACCACCACGCAATGCGTTTACGCGCTCGTCGTTTCTCGTTTTTGCGTTTCGCTTCGAGGCGCAGGGTCGTTTGTCCCCCGTCGATTGGCCCCCGGTCTCAGCCACTGTCTGTCGTTGAAAAGGCGAATCGTTTCACGGAAACCACCGATTTTCAAGCCTTTTTTCCCGCTAAATCGGCGCACCGCGCCGCGTCGCTTCGCGGAACGCGGATCGATCTTTCCGCATTTGTTTCCGAGAGAGGAAACTTGTTTTTTCGCTCATGGAACTCGATTCGCTTTGCTCTTTGCGTGTCGGAATTTTTCGTTCGCTCCCGACCGCAGTTCCGGGCTTCTTTTTTTTTCTTTTCCATTATTGTGAAATTACATTTAAATTTTCGAACGTGTCTTAACGTAGCATCAATTTTTTTATCTGTGAAAGATTTTTATGTTAAAAATGTTAAAAATGTTTAAAACTGTTTAAAACTGTACTTACTGTAAATTGATAATCTCAAGTTGAACATTTTTCTATATGTTATATATTTTTAAACAGAGATTTTTATTATTTTATGATAATAAATACTTATGTATTTTTTATAACATGTAACTGTACGTAAAAAATACCGTTACGTATATATGTTATGGAGTGTAATTCATAAAATCACGGCGCTCAGAAATTCTTGAAGAGAAATCTTGATCTGCAAATGTTAATTCTCGGAACGTGAAAATGCAAGGAAATGTCGTAAAAGAAATAGGAAGCCAATAAATTACAAGTTTTTCGGCGAACGGTAGAAAATATTTCAAACCGCATTTGCATACAGACGAATCGGTCTAGGATCTACGTTGTAGATGTGTGGTTTATAAAAACAAAAATATTCGAAAACGATGAAAAGTAAAAACAGAAACGGTAAAAAGTAATGGTAATAAAAAAATAACAATAAAAAGTATACGGTAAAATTTCCAATAGATTTTTCAAATAAAGGTGCTTTTTATGGGACTGTAGCTATTATTGTTACACGACGAAAATTGCTTCTTTTTTCTTACGTTAGGCCCATAATCTAAACCACACCTGTCGCATTTATTCGCCAATAGAACAGTTTTGTTTTTTCAAAACAAATTACTTGAGAAAAAACTGTGTGTATAAAACATGATTTGTCTATCGAATATCTGCATAAATTTTTACAATTATCAATCGCTCGCATTGGAAGTGTTATTTGTTTGTGCGTCACGTTTCAGTTCCTAAAGTAAACGCAATTCGAATGTGTGTTCCACGATTTTGGATGCCACCTTGTGCCAACATGTTTCCACGAAATCCACGAAATCGGTTCTCCGAT